GACTTGACCAAATAAATTATGTACCAACCACATTGCTGTCAAGTCAATTCCGACTCTTAGCGACCCTATAAACAGAGTAGAAATGCCCCACGGGGTTTCCAAAGCTGTAATCTTTACAGAAGCAGACCACTACATCTTTCTCCCTTGGAGCAACCCTTGGTTGGTGGGTTCCAACCGCCAACCTTTCGGTTAGCAGCCAAGCGCTTTAACCACTGTGCCACCAAGGCTCCTTAAATTATCTGCACAATGGTGTTAAAATTATGTATATATGAGTATCCGTATGGGTTTGTGTTTTTGAGACTGCATTCTTTATCATGGATCTGGAATGCTCACCTACCAAGAGATTGGGGCCCTGGTGGCGCAGTGTTAAGAGCTCGGCTACTAACCAAAAAGTGGGCAGTTCGAATCCACTAGCTGCTCCTTGGAAACCCTGTGGGACAGTTCTCTTCTAGGGTTGCTATGAGTGGGAATTGACTCCACTGCAACGGGTTTGGTTGGTTTTACCAAGAGATTTTCAGCAAGCTCATTTAACCCCTTTAAGTCAGAGTAACAAGCCAGGATTTTATGCATAAAGTAGATAACTGTGTTGTGCTGTTTTTATAGTGGTTACCCTTAAGGTAGACATAACTTGCTGTGTGGAATGGCTATGTCTATAAAATTGTAGATGTTTTCATAGTTTACATCATAATAGATGTTTTCATAAGTAATAAGAAAACAAGAATCTTATCTTTCTAGCCCAGCTTTCTTTCGTAGGCTCAGAGTCCTGGAACCAAGGCCCTTTCTTTCCCGATCTTTCATTTCTATTCAAATCAGGTGCAGTTAAGCTTAAAAATAATGTATTTTCCTTTGTTATGTAAGTTCTAGCCTCAACTGTCAGACACCGAGGTTCTGCCTGAGAGCAAACTTGGCTTGGTTGCTCTCCCAAGCCCTCCTGACCCCAGGGCCTCACAGGTGGGAGCTGTGCATTGAGTTGGACAACACTTACATTTTATGGGACAACATGGCCTTGAATTGAATTCACTGGGCTTCTAAATCGCTGCCTAGTGACAGCTGCAAAATGTAGAACTGGAAGTGAAGGCCAAGAAGAAACAAAACAGCCAAACAAACAAAATGCTCAGCATCCATACAGACTCAATGGCCTTTTATTTTATTTTATTTTTAGGTTTTCCCTCTTTCTCTTTCTCCCTTGTTCCAGCCGGGAAAACCTTCTTTCTTCAGCCTGCTTGAAATCCTCATGATTTGGAAAATCACAGGGCACTTTATTTTAAATGCCCCCAATTTTCTCTCCCTTAATAAGTATAGCAAATAAGCCTTAGCTCGAGGTCATGGGGTGTGGCTATAAAGCCTTGAGAATGATTCGGGATCCACACAGGAGGGCCGTGTGCCCTATTCCTTGATACCCACAGCCTCGGTGTTCTCAGCCTTTGAGGGTCCTCAGGGGGGCGCTGCTCCGAACTTCTCTTGTTCTGGATCTGTGTGGAGTTCCTTTTCGCTTTCAGCTGAGTGTATAGCCTGATTTAGCGTGTGTCTCAGGGAAACACAACCTGGAATGTGTGCTGTTAACAGCTCCTTGTTACAGATTTTTTAACTTTGGAAAAGGTACTTAATAAGTGCCTTTTAATTGATTGGCTTGGATGGATTTTCCTTTGAATAGTTCTAAGCAAGGAGTGGAAAGTGTTTCCAAAAGGAGGCTTGAGCGTTACCATGGTGAGTGTGTGCTGTGATGGAGACAAGGCTGGAATGGCAGGAAAAGAACCCTGCTAACCGAGTCCAGCTCACATCCAAACAAACGGGGCAGCTGCCTGAGGTGCTCGTGATTTCTAACGAACCGAGGGAAAGGAGGTGCTAAATCAAGACTCCTGAAGGGAGCTGGTCCCTTGGTAGGGGGCCTGGGGGGACCCATTGAACAGACTGAGTCTCAGTAAGTAGAAAAGTGGATGCCTTACAGCACAGTGGGAGTCCCTGGGTGGTGCAAACAGTTCATGCGCTCGCTGCTAACAAGAAGGTTGGAGGTTCAAGTCCACCCAGAGGCACCTCGGGAGAAAGGCCTGGCCATCTGTTTCTGAAAAATCAGCCATTGCAAACCCTATGGAGCACAGTCCTACTCTGACCCACATGGGGTCGCCAGGAGTTGAAATCCACTCAAGGGCAACTGGTTTTACCGCACAGCAACTCAGCACCAGGGTGGGAAGCCAGAGGCTAAATCTCAACGATGGGTGTGGCCCATGAAATTTGAGCATGGCTGGCCCGTAAACAATGGGTGAACTGTGGCCAGATTAAGAGGGGAGACTTCTCACCTGATGACATACAGTGTGTGTTCCCAAAGAACAAGGCGGCATCGTATGGCACCTGTTGAACTAGGGCGGGGTGGATTAGTATTTGGTAAACGTTTTGTTGGCTTTTCTGAGTTCAGCATCGCACAGTGGGGACCGCCCTAGTTTTTTTTTTAAACAGTTGATTTATATAAAAAATTATGTCTTTTTTAATAGATTAATTGTATTATTATTTTATTTAATTTTTTTAAAATATAACATGGTCAAACATTAAAACAACTAAAAGGTACACAGAGAAAAGTGGGCTTCGCATCTCTGTCTCCATCTACTCCACTGCTCACTGCCCTGCAACCACTTCTCTGTCGTGTGTATCCTTTCTGTGTTTCTTTATGCAAACTCAAGCAAGTCTAAGTACGTACTCTTGTTTTTCATTCCTTTCTTGCATTAAAGGTTGTTGTTGTTAGTTGCTGTCGAGTTGGCTCCGACCCATGGCGACCTTCACGTGACCAGAACAAAACGTTGCCTGGTCCCGTGCCGTCTTCATGAACACTCGCCTGTTTGAGCCCCTTGTTGTGGCGGTTGGGTCAATCCGTCCCACTGAGGGCTTGCCTCATTTTTGCTGACCCTCTACCTTACCAAACACGATGTCCTTTTCCAGGGATTGGTGGCATACTGTAAACACCGCTGCTTACTGCACTCAAATAAAATATCTTGGAGATCTTTCCACCTGAATTCGTAAAGAGCTTCGTCTGTGTCTTAACCACTGAGAATACTGTACTGTATTGCGTGCCTGTATCACAGTTGATTTAACCTGTCTCCTAGTGACGGACACTTGGGCTATTTTTGCTCTTTTGCTACTTTGAAAAATGTTGCAGTGAATATCCTTGTCCATACGTCATATTGTATGTGTGAGGACATCTGTCAGCAGGTCAGAAGTGTGGCTACTTTGATCATCATGGGGGCATCCTTCTCCCTTCCTCCTTACCGTTCTTGTTATGCCAGAGCTTCATCCTGAAAGCGGGAGCCCCTTGGCTCCCATTACGGTTTATGCTCGTATACAGCCCAGGAGCTGCCTTTCTTTGGAGACATAATTGCAGGAAAATAAAGATTGGGCTACCCGTAACGCTAAGGATCCAATTGATCCAAACAGCTCTTGCCAGGCAGAATGTGACTTCTCTTTGGGTAGGTCATTCTCACAGGAGCAAAGTCTGGCTTGACCTCCACACAAGCTATTAAATGGGGGTGTCTTTTGGTAAAACAGCCCCGAAAGAAAAGCCTTCCCTGGATCCCCAGGCCAAGCTGCCTTCATCCTGGAAGACTGAGGTGGAAGTTCTCCAAAGACAGTGTCCCATGCAATCCCAGGCTTTCCTCGCTCCATCTTTTCTGTGGACCCCTCACTTGCCAGGTCCTGCAAGGACCACACACACACAGTGTCCTACCACAGCATGAGGAACCTCAGGGCGCTCCATATTGTGATGGAGTGAGTTATGAGCATGTAATCCTCTGTAGGACATGTCTGCGGGCACCCATTTCCAATGAACGCTCACGGTTGATACATCACTTTAGAAATTGCAGAGACCTTGCTGGTCCCTCTGCTGCTTGTTTCAGCACAGTCTCTCTCTCCCTGAAACTTCAGCGCATGTATTTCCCAGAGCATCTTGAGACCTTGGTGGCTACTGAAACGGACCATGTCCTAAACATGAAGTATCCATTTCTGGCTTTGTGCACCCCACAAAGTAAGTCATGCCTATGTATCAATCCAGGCTCCTTTGGTTGCTGGTTTTAAAAGTCCAACCCAACTAGCTTAAGAGCTACCACCCGTCTGTCAGTTTGTTGTACTGTGGTGGCTTGCTTGTTGCTAGGATTCTGGAAGCTATAACACAGGTATTTCAAATACTAGCAGGATCACCCATGGTGGACAGGCTTCAGCAAGGTTCCAGACTAAGACAGACTGAGAAGAAAAGCCTGGTGATCTAATTGCAAAAATTAGCTAATGAAAGCCCTATGGATCCCACAGAATATTGTCTGAGACTTTGACTTGCTTACTTTGGACATGTCATCAGGAGGGCCTGGTTGCTGGAGAAGGACATCATTTTTGGTAAAGTGGAGGTCCAGTGAAGGTGAAGGAAACCCTCAGTGATGTGGATTGGCACAGTGGCCGAAGCAATGGACTCAAACATACCAAGGATCATGAAGATGGCACAGGACCAGGCAACATTTTGTTCTGTTATATGTAAGGTCAGCATGAGTTGGAGCCAACTCAATGGCTACTGACAACAACAAAATTAAGAAATAAAGCGGGGGGGGGGAATGTATTGACTTGTCTAAGTAGCCCATGAAAAGAGAGGGACAGAGCCGGCCTCAGTGCAGCCTGGCTCCAGGGATCTAAATGTTGCGGAGGCTCTTTCTCTGCTGGTCTCTATGGGTTGGCTTCATTCTCTTCTGTGGCAGAAGGAAATATGACCACTGGTGGTTCCAAGCTTCATCCCGGTAACATTATAAACCAACTTCAATTTTACAAATCTCAGAAAAAGACTTTCATTTGATGGCATGGGTCTTTGCCCCCTCCGTAGGCTAGTTCCTGCAGCCAGAGGGGTAAGGTAATATATGGTTGGCCCAGCCTAGGTCATGGGTCTGCTTTTGTGGCCAGGCCGATGGGTTTATGATCGGGTGCCTCCCTCCAAAACACAGGGGAAATTCTTCAAAAGAAAAGGGCAGTGGCTCTGGACAGGTAAAAAACAAAAGAACACCTCAACGAGTAAATAAGGGGTGGGCTCAGGTATGGCCAATCTGTGCTCTCCCCTTCTGTCTTAGTTATCTAGTGCTACTATAACAGAAATACCACAAGTGGACAGCTTTAACAAACAGAAATTTATTCTCTCACAGTTTAGGAGGCTAGAAGTCCAAATTCAGGGAATCAAATCCACCAGCCGCTCCTTGGAAACCCTATGGGGCAGTTCTACTCTGTCCTATAGAGTCGCCATGAGTCGGAACCAACTCGACAGCACCTGACAACACAACCACAACAGCTCCAGGGGAAGGCTTTCTCTCTCTGTTGGCTCTGGGGGAAGGTCCTTGTCATCCGTCTAGGAGCTTCTCAGTGCAAGGACCCCAGGTCCAAAGGACGTGCTCTGCTCTGGGTGCTTCTTTCTTGGTGATATGAGGTCCCACTCCTCTCTGCTCGCTTCTCTCTTTTATATCTCAAAAGAGATTCACTCAAGATACAACCTAATCCTGTAGATTGAGTCCTGCCTCATTAACATAACTGTCTCTAATCTTGCCCCATTAACATCATAGAGGATTTACAACGCAGAGGATAATTACATCAGGTTACAAAATGGAAGACAATCACAAAATATTGGGTATCATGGCCCAGCCAAGAAGACGCACATTTTAGGTGGGCACAGTTCAATCCATAACAACTTCCCCAGATCTCCTCTGCTCTCTGAGCCCAGTAGCCCTGGCATCTTTCCCCTTCCTCTAAATGTAATGCCCTACAATGCTCCTGGAAATCCTTTCCCTGGGGCCCCTCCTCTCTCTCTCTGGGATCTACCATTAGCAGTGGTAGTTCAGCATGCTGTGATGGAAAGAACATACCCAGGGAGACCTGGGTCTTCTTGACATGCCTATGCTCTTGCCACCTCAGTTTTCACAGCTGTAAAGTGAAGGGATAGCCAAGCCCAACTTGCCAGGTTGTTATGATGAGTAGAGAATTGATACTTGGGTCCTTGTCCTTCTGGAAGTAGGCGCTCCCAAGGGTGGAAGTGAATGTTAATAACTCTGGGAATCCTGAATATACATTGGCTCCATGGGACTCTCTTAAACAAACAAACCAGTTGCCGTCAAGTTGACTCTGACTCATGACAACTCTCTGTGTGTCAGAGTAGAACTGTGCTCTGTGGGGTTTTCGGTGGCTGATTATTCAGAAGTGGATCACCAGGCCTTTCTTCTGAGACACCTCTGGGGGCACTCAAACAGCCAGCTTTTCAGTTAGCAGGCAAGCACTTAACCATTTGCACCACTCAAAGACGCCTTAAAAAACTGATTGCTGTCAAATTGATTCTGACTTACGGTGACCCCACGTGTGCCAGAGTAGGACTGTGTGCCATAGGGTTTTCAATGACTGATTTTTTCAGATGTAGACTGCCAGGCCTTTCTTCTGACACACCTCTGGGTGAGTTGGAACTGCCAACTTTTCAGTTAGCAGATGAGTGCTTAACCGTTTGAGCCACCCAGAGATGTCCTGAATATACATTGGTTCCACGGGACTGTCTAATAACTCTCTATACCCATTGTGCCTTGGGCATAGCAGGGGTCAATCTGTTGACCTCAACCCTCTGCCTTATATCATTATTAAATAATTTGAAAGCAGGCATAGGCTAAACTCAAGACTACTCATGTTTCTATCTGCCTTCCTTGTTCCATGTCATACTTGACAGTCAGGCTGGGTCAGGCTTTTAGGATAAAAAGCCCATCCTGAAGTTGTCTGTATTTTCGAAGGATTTCAAAGTTTCATGAAAAGCAGCACGTCTGCATGTCTTGCCTGCCCGACTTGCTGGCTCTGCTGGTAGGAGCATAAAGGTGCTGGGGGTATTTGCTGATCCTCAAAAAGCACAGATCGTGAATGAGGTCGTCCCAAGCCTCTGTGGGCTGTGGATAAAGGAAAGGAACACAGAGAGAAGCCTCCTCTTACTGCTGACTGCATTCTGTGGGCCTAGTGTGACTCTATGCATGGATTGGCATACGCATACGCATGTGAAAGCTGGACGATGAATAAGGAAGACGGAAGAATCAATGCCTTTGAATTACAGGGTTGGCGAAGAATACTGAATACACCACGGACTGCCAAAAGAACGAACAAATCTGTCTTGGAAGAAGTACAACCAGAATGCTCCTTAGAAGCAAGGATGGTGAGACTATGTCTCACATACTTTGGACCTGTTGTCAGGAGGGATCCGTCCCTGGAGAAGGACATCATGCTTGGTAAAGTAGAGGGTCAGTGAAAAAGAGGAAGACCCTCGACAAGATGGATTGACACAGTGGCTGCGACAATGGGCTCAAGCATAACAACGATTGTGAGCATGGCGCAGGACTGGGCAGTGTTTCATTCTGTAGCACATAGGGTCGCTATGAGTCAGAACCGACTCGACGGCACCGAACAACAGCAGTGGGACTCTGCTCTGAGGCCTCTCAGAGCCTGCCTGTCTCTCCCAGGCTCAGCAGTGCCCGCTAACTCTCCCCACCACACAGCTCCATTCAGTCCTGAGCCAGTTGCATCCACATGCTTGGAAATACTAAGAAGTTGTATCACTTATGCCTGTGGTTGTGAAAATGCAACAGGACTTCAAACATCTCTAGGTGTAAATGAGCCCCAAGGCTGCATAATGAGGATGTTACCTATAATAGTAGATTTGGTCTCTGAAAAATGAAATATGACACACTGTTTTCAGGAATAAGGAGCCTGGAGGCGCAGTGGTTGAAGTGTTCGGCTGCTAACCAAAAGGTCGGCAGTTTGAATCCACCAGCTGCTATGTGGGAGAAAGATGTGGCAGTCTGCTTGTGTAAAGATTTACAGCCTGGGAAACCCCATGTGGCAGTTCTAGTCTGTCCTGTAGAGTCACTATGAGTTGGAATCGCCTCAATGGCAATGGGTTTTCAGGAACAGGGAGCAGGAGATTTTCTTCTTTAACAATAGAGGAACAGAGACTTCTAGAATTTAGATAGAAATCAGAATGCCTTCTAAATTACAAAAGCTGCAATGTTTATTCAATGTTTTAATCTAATGGGCGGTTTATTTTCTACATAAAACCAAACCCATTGCCGTTGAGTAGATCCTGACTCATGGCAACCCCACGTGTTTCAGAGTAGAACTGCGCTCCATAGGGTTTTCAATGGTTGTAATCTTATGGAAGTAGATTGCCAGGCCTTTCTTTTGCTGCAGCGCTGGGTAGATTTGAATTGCTGAACTTTTGGTTAGTAGTTGAATGCAAACTGTTTACACCACTCAGGGCCCATATAGAGCAGGATTAATCAGTGAGATGAGCTGGTCTTTGAAGAGTTTGGTAAGTATTGGGGTTTCCCTCCCTCTGTGCTGCCTCTTCTGTCCATGATTCACACTCAGTCTTACACTCTGCGTGTGTTTGTGTGTGTGTGCTTGTATTTGCTTCTCTTCTACACTTCCTCTTTCTCTATTGGCCTGATTTTTTCCACCTCTATGGAATCGATGTCTTTTTCATCTTTTGTTGTATCTATTGAATAGAGTTTTATTAAATTTTTTTTATTGTACTTTAGATGTTTACAGAACAAATAGTTTCTTATTAAACAGTTAGTACCCAGATTGTTTTATGACACTGGTTAATAACCCCACAAGTCAACACTGTCCCTTCTCAACCTTGGGTTCCCAATTACCAGCTTTCCTGTCCCCTCCTACCTTCTAGTCCTTGTCCCTGGACTGTTGTGCCCCATTAGTCTCGTATGAATAGAGTTTTATATGCGGTATTCTGGACCGTGTATATTTTATATTCTGTATGACTGGACGGTTTCATGTGTCTTTAAAGACAACCAACAGCCATGACCAAAATTCAGTTGCTTTCTCTTCTGCACCCCTCACGTTGATTTTCCTCTGTGAGTCAGCATTCCCCAACTGAGAAGGACTTTTGTGCCCGGATTGCGGTGGGGGTGGTCATGGCTCCTCAGTAGTCAGGAGTAATGTCAACATCTTGAAGAGCGCTTTTTAGGCACAGCCCTGGTGATGCAATGGTTAAAGCACTTGTCTGCTGACCGAGAGGTCAGTGGTTCAAAACCACTAGCAGCTCTGTGGGAGAAAGATGTGGCAGTCTGCTTCCGTAGAGATTTACAGCCTTGGAAACCCTGTGGGGTTGCTGTGAGTTGGAATCGACTCGATGGCAGTGGGTTTTTGGCTTTCATCTGCAGCATCCTTGGAAGACTGGGTCTAACCCACTAGGTCTGAATGGTTACTTTTAATGAGCAATCAGGGGAAGCCTCAGAGAACTTAAAGGGCCAAACCTGCTCATTGATTCTGGAAAGTCAGGGGCAGACCTCCCTGAAGCAGGAAAAACTGCCGATGACTGTTCCATTTGGCCCAGCCATGGGCCTAATCCTGTTATGGAGGAAGCTTGCTTTTGCTAATGGGATCTTTTCCTGTCTGCAGTGGTTCCCCTTCCTTGTGGCATATCTTGTCTCTCTATCTTGGTTCCTAGTGCTCAGTACCCTTATGTTCGGTCCCACCATCACCACTGTCCTGTCTATTCTAAGGAAAGGGCCTGGGACAACTATTTACATGGTAGTATGAATTGGAGTTAGTGCGTTACAGGAGAATTTGCATCTTGAGCATTATTTTAAGAGCATGAAATTGTTCTGTTATGTCTTTAGTTTCACTAACCCCTAACTAAAATTTATCATTTTCTTCCATTGTGAATGCCGGCAATGAAGCGCAGTAATAGAAATCATAGGTTATTTTCATATCACATTATAGTTGTTTGTTGCAAACACCTCAAGGTACTATTTCTGCTCATTACTGCCTCAAAATTATTCTGTTTATTAGGCCCCTCTCCAAATCCTTTATATAGCATATTAATAAGAAGCACAAATATTACTGTATTATAATTCTTAACAAATTTTGATCACTGTGTTTCAATATACTTTTTTTTTTAATAGTATTACTTTTTTATTTTATGCATTTAAAAGCATTATTCTGAGCATGGATCCTAGGCTCCATTGAATTGCCAAAGAGACCATGTACAGAAAAGGTAAAAAGCCCCGCATTGCAGGAATGTAGCAGGTGGAGATTTCTTTTTGTGACAAGGAGACTTTGTCTGCACGGTCCAGTTTTACCTATCCTTTGCTTGGTAACAGAGTTGCAAAAAGTACAGGTGAGCCTGTGAGTCCCCATGGAGATATCTCCTTACCCTTGAGATTAATTAACCTTATGAGAATTGTGGTGTTGGTGAAGAATATTGAATATACCATGGACCGCAAAAAGAATGAACAAGTCTGTGTTGGAAGTACAGCCAGAATGCTCCTTAGAAGCAAGGATGGCAAGACTATGTCTCACGTACCTTGGACATGTTATCAGGAGGGACCAGTCTCTGGAGA